AGAGCTGTCAATCAATAAATTGGAAAAAAAGTAACTTGCGTTATTTATTTGAAAAAGTAACTCAGATATTCTCTTGTAATTAAAAAGTAATGCGTTACTTTACTAGTTACTTGAAAAAAGTAATCTGATTACGTAACTCGCGTTACTTGTAATGTGTTACCCCCAACACTGATCAGCACACAGCACATATTTACATATTCATCTAAACCTTGCTCTCAGTAGTGTGAACAACATCTGGATGTTCGTTAACAGTGTCGTTGCCAATTTATTTCCAACATTATTTTACTTCTAAGCAAAGAACAAAAAAAAATAACTTCACCGTGAGTATATCGGGCATTGAATCGCCTTTAGTCTCTTGTACATGTGCACTAGAGCAAGCACGAGCAAGTAAGTTGCTGGCTGCAGTTCACTTAATGGCCACCGCTAATAGGAAGGGTTTCTGAATTCTACATACAGCCCCTTGACTGTTAAGAACCATTAGAACATGAAAAGGACACTAGAGCTGTTACACTACAGTTTGCAACTAAACATTATGTATTTGATCATGATTATTACAGTTGTTTTGAGGTTAAAGATAGAACAGTGCTTCAGGATCCAGACTTTACATTGGACATCAAGTAGCGACCCATCTTAGTAGTAAAACTGTTGCTATGCTATCTGTGGTTTTGCCACATTTTATTATTTGCATTGAGCACTGACCCATTTTTGGGCCATAAAACTGTCTCTGAAATGCTTTTGAAATGTTTTTCTCCATCAGTATCCTCAGAGAGCTTTTTAGGCCGCACCCATTCTCCTGTGAAGTATGCGTAGAATACTCAGACTAGCATTGAACATACGGTCATGCTGGAAGATCATTTTATAGAATGCATCTATGGGTAGACACCCTGTTGGGTCAGCATGCTTCATGGCAGTCAGTGGCATGTACAAACGATTGGTCTGATGACGAAATGGAGGGTTTTTGGACACAATCACCTGGAGACTTTGCTGTAAGAAAAAAAGACATTTCTCTGTCACTCAGTTGAACAGGGAGCCTTAACGAATAACAGAACAGCCCATCCACACACTCACCTCTGCCACTTCCTCAGGTGTCTGCCCGACTGAGTTAAAAACTTTATGTGAATATTTCAGGTAGATCTGACGGAAGATGCGAGCTGTCTCCTCGTCAGTCTCTGAGAGATCCATCTTCTCTGCCTCTTCATACACTTTCTTCTCAAATTCAGTTACAACTGGGCCTGGCTCCACTAACGTCATCCTGTGAGATTTGTATATAAGCCATACTTACAATGCATTAATTGCATGGTTTATGGATCATTAACATAATATAGTGCATTTAAAAGAAATACTGTATATAGTTTCAAGAAAGACAAAGGTATTTAGACACTTTGTGGTTGTTGCATGTTTACCCTTGTTAAAAAAGTACACTATAGCATACTTGTAAATAGAGTTGTTATTATAAAAATAATATACTTAAGTGTGAATTGAATGTTTCAATTTTCGGATGCTTAAATGCATGACGTTGCAATTTAATACATTTAAAATATAAACTTTACATGTAATCTCAAACAATACGCTATAATTAAAATTTTAATGAAGTACTTTACATGTGCTTTAGTCTGTTAGTCAACACATAAAAATAAATGTAATTCTTTAAAGCATGAAAAAATACTTTAAAGTAATACTTTTAATTTGACGTTATTACAAAGTGCACATTTTAAAAGTGTACTTAAGTGTGTTAAGAAACAGTTATGAAAGTGTATTTTCTTTAATTATGTAGTGTATATTCACTTAAGTGGCCTTTTATTTCATTAATATTATATTACCTGCACACTAGAATGGAACATTTACTAAAAATCACTTTGAGACCAGCTGATTAAAAGTGAATTTACCTTATTTAGGCAACCTAGCCCTTTTTATCAGTTTGCTAGGAAATTTGTTTTATTGTGTACTCACTTGACATTGAACTTCATAGCTTGCACAGCAAGACTCTCACAAAACCCCTCTACAGCAAATTTAGAGGCAGCATATACATCATTGAAAAGTAGTCCTGAAAAAAAAAAAAGAGAGTACTCTAAAAATATATATTTTTTAAACAGTAATTTTATGATTCAGTTGAATGTATACAGCTTATAATAAATGAGCTATGTGGTATTACCCTGGATTCCCAGGACGCTGCTCATCACTACGATGTGTCCACTCTGACGCTGCTTCATGTCAGGCAGCAGTTCCTTTACCAGTCTCACCAGCCCAAAGAAGTTAGTGTTGAAGAGTTCCTGCATAGCACTTACATTCTGACACTCCAAAGGACCAATCATACCCACACCGGCATTATTCACTACAAAACAGTGCAGTAGAGTCTAAATCAAACAGTATGTGTGAAAACAAAGAGATATGATTATACTTTTTTTTTTTTAAACATCGGCAGTAAATCTAGCACCAAAAATTTGGTGTGTGTATATATATATATATATATATATATATTAAATCATGAAACTCTAGATGGCGCAGGCTGACGGGTTGTTAACGCAACTGATGATATTCAGAGAGTTAAATGACTTGGCACAAACACACGGTCTTGCGGCTCTCCGGAGCAGCAGCAGTACATATGTCTTGGCAATAGATCTGCTTGTTCTGGGGGGTTTTACCTTTTATATTTCTTCTGCCTATAGAGATGATTTAAGCATATTGTATAGCAGCAGCATACATATTTAATTGTTTAGTTTTCTTCTTCCAGCTTTGTTGGGGGGTTATTTTATATGCTATTTGTGCAGCAGCAGTATGTCTTAAATACTCACGGCACCGTATCGCCATATGCATTGGCAGTAGCAAGTTCCTTTACTTGCTTGCAGCAGCAGCAATAATCTACAACTACAGCAATAACCATCAGCAGCAGCGTAGCATATCTGTTCCGCCAAGACCAAATACATTAACATTGTCATATCCATCACCATGCTAAAATCTTCAGAGTTGTCATGATTGAAATATATATATATTGCTGATACAGGTGATGCAAATTTGAGCATCAAATTTAGCTGATGAACTCCGTGTGGTAACACAAATGTTGAATATTGCACAAATGTGGTATAAAAACTTTTTTTTATTGAAAAGCTTTTAGTCAAGTCAAAAGACACTTTTGGTCATATGGCTATGAAGCTGCATTGCTCAGAAACAAAGATGGAGTGAATGAAGGAAATTTTAATTGGAAAGGAAACTCTTAATGTCACCTAACACATCCACTTGTCGATTTGGCAAGCTGTTCACACACTCTCTGATGGAGTCCTCACAGGTGGCATCCAGCTGTCGGATCTCCAGGGATCTGTTGAGGGATTCTCCAGCTGCTCTCTCCAGAGCTTCTCTCTTATCCAGGTCCCTCATAGTGGCCACAACTAACTCAGGCACAATCAATAGTAAGACTTAAAACATTAACAGCATTGTTACATCATATTACATTTACCTGTTCATTATCTAATATACATTCTGAATATTGTTCCATCCTTAATGAATAACCATACAGGAGCAAATGAGTAATACAACATTAACATTCTAGTAGCTATGATTAACTAACAACAAACTTTACCTAACCAATTAGTAAGTAATAGCACTATTAAATGCAAAAAGTTTTTTTTTAGGCTGATGACTCAAAATGTTCCAGTATGATACAGTGTTAAGTTCAGAGGGATACCAGAAAATTGACCACAGGAGTAAGTTGCAAAAAAAACTGCAATTAAATATCAATTTCTTTGAAATTGTCCATAGCCTGTTATTAGTTCTGCAAAAAATAAAAATAAAAAAACAATCAAATTTTTACTAATTACTTTAGTACTAATTATTAACATATTATTATCTATTGATTCTGTAAGTGATCACATGTTAATGTCAAAATTAAATTAAAAAATAATTTGTCCTGCGTTAGTTATTGATTAGTTTCACATTAATTATAAAACTGTATGTAGTCCCCTGGGAGGCATGAAAAAATACAGTAGAAGTTACTGATTAGCTAATAGTGAACTACCACATTCAACTGAGTGCTACTTACTAATGCATTAATCTCAGTTTCATGTTAATTAATAGTAGTTACTAGAATGTTAATATTGTTTTACTTACTTGTTCCTTTGCTAGTTATTTATCATTGAAGGAACAGTATTTGAAACTGTTCCTTTGTAATGTTGAAACTTTGAGTTATATACACATGCATATTTATAAAATTCTAAGAGGCGTTTTACATTCATACGCAGTCTTCTTACCTTTGAAGCGCCTTAATTTATCTTTTGCAAGACGGACAGCCAACGCCAAACCAATTCCAGAGGAGCATCCTGTCACCAAAACCTTTCGTGTCCCCATAACTTTCGTTCAAGGATGATTTCTAATCTGAAACCATTTACAAAGCATTAAACTTTAGTAACACTATATTTGCCATAGCTATAGCCAATTTTCTGTTCAGAATCACGACCATCTTATGAACATCTTCTTTTGGTATGTTAATCTCAGTTACACATGGATCAAAGACGTTAAAATGTCCGCATCAAAAGAAATGTACAAAAGTGTTTTATATTCATAGAAAGCACATTAAATGTAAGTAAAGTGTCTACTTTTAAGGTTTCAAATAAGTTTTTAGAGAATAAAATGTCAAGATTTGGTTTAAATAATGTTAAATTGTCATTCAGTGTAACACAATATTTATGTAAAAATTCAAATATGCTTATTCATTATTGTACATATTAAAATATATAAAAGAATAAGGGAGCATATTAAATTTTATTGTGTTTTAAATGAGTAAAAAATTCTTACTGACCAATGGCCAAAACCTAGGATAGTGGCAAATTTTACAAATGTAAAATTACAACTAATTAGTATTTGGGGTGAAAGTAATTAGTCTTTTAATATGTCATAAATTGATTTTTGTTGTAATTATGCCTGACAAGAATGTTACACTGAATGACATTTTAGTGGGTGTCTTCTGTAAATCAGGGAAGATATTTATCTTTTGCTCAGAAAAACAAAAACAAAATTGCAATTAAATTAAACAAAAAACGTTTTAAATTTTGGGGGAAAAACAACAACAATTTAAAGCAGTAGTTCACTTAGGCCTATTGTTTTTATGCTTAAACCCTTTTTCGTCTTTGACCCACATGTAAATATATTAGGCTACAGCACATAGCAGCAATGCCACGTACATTTACAAACTCTTAGAAATGTAAAAGTCAGTAACTACACTGTAACAAGAGCCCTATATTAAAGCTTCACATTTTTCGTGCTAGGTGGACATTTAAAGGGAAAATAAATGTACAGAGAACACCGAACGGTTTCTGGACTACGGATTAAATCTTAATCAGATTTTCTCAGCACGGGAGCGCGCCTCATGATGAGCCCGTTTTAACTGGTCAGTAGAGATTTGATCAATTTCACATCTAAAACCGCATGACAAGTGTTATGTTTTATAAAGGTCGTCACGTTTTAATATTAAGCTTTCAAAAATGACAGTGACGACAGTTGCACTGCGTGAAAAACAAAAGCACACAACCTGTTTGAGGTGTTCTGGGCATGCATTTACTGAATGCTGCTAAACTGTCCGTTCTGCAGCATGTACAGTCCTGTGTCCTGTTGACAGACCTCTTGTCATCCGATCCTTTCACTCGGAACGCATGAGTTCTGCACAAGAGCCGCACTGTGAAAACAAGTCATGTGCAGAGGTCGCGTTTGCGTTCAGAGAACCCTGGGATTTGAAGTCATTGACTGTATACAACAACAACAACAACAACAATAATAATAATAACAGGCTAGTAATAATAAAATTATTATTATTATCATCATCATCATATAGGCATAGAATAAAATATATGCTCTAAATTGTTTTGAAGCGGTTTAATACTAACAATCTATACTGCGTTTCCCAAAAGCATCGTAAAATTAATTAAACCAAATGGAGCTACGATCAATTTAAGCTTACGAAGCTTTTGGGCACGCAGCCCTGAATGATTCTTTTTAGTGAACCGATTCAAGATATCCGAATTACTCCATGAATCCAAATCCTCAATAAAAATTTGCATGAACAGTCAAGAGTGCTTTTATTTTGTGCTCGGTTTACAGCTGTATTGTGTCGACCTCTAGTGGTCATGATGTATTTTTAATCAAACTGAAAGTGACATATCACACTAACTAACATACAGTACTAACAACTACTAACTACTAACATACTGAAATCTCTAAAGGAAACGGTGCCACAGTATAAGGCAAGGCAAGGCAAGTTTATTTATATAGCACATTTCACCACTTCTAAGAGATCTGCTTCTAAACAGTTAAGCACCCTTTTGAAAAAATATGTGGGAAGTGTGTCAAGATAGCAGGTTGACGATTTAAGGTGCTGTACTATTTCTTCCAAAATTTTGCTATCAATTTCTTCAAAAGCAGACATAGTATCTTCTTTTTGGTATTGTGGTCGAATCTGTCTGACCTCTGCATAAATTGGGGATGTGCTAATCGCCTTCCTGATATTATTGATCTCAGAAAAGAAGGAGGCAAAATCATTGCATTTGCTGTCGGAGAGCATTTCTCTAGCAATCTGACTTGGGGGGTTTGTCAGTCTCTCAACAGTAGCAAAGCAGATGGAGGGTTTGGGCCCTGGCGTTGTGGCAGCGGCGGGAGAGCTCTCACAGGAGGAGGAAGACGAGCTGGGCCCACAGGCTTTGGTGGTTGTGGGGCCCGCCGTTTTTTAGTTGATATCTGGGGGTTTGCAGCAAAAGAGTGTGAAAGTTTGGTCCCAGCATATAGCAGTTCCTCCATTTTCTGTGAGAAGCTTAGAAGTGGAGATGCTGGAGAGAGGGATAATGTGTCTGGTGAGATGGGCTGTGGCTCTGGTGTTTCTGATGGCTGAAATATGTTGTCCTGGTTTCCCTGGCTGTTTTCCAGAAAGTCGTCCTTGGGTGCTGAGGTTTGGAGCTGTTCTGATACGTCACAGACTGCTCTTTCCGAATATCATTCTTCCCCACATGGATGATGATTCGATTCGCAGTCTTGTGCTTCATTAGAATTTTCCGAAGGTCCTTGTTTACATCAGAAACGGTTGCTTGCGGAAGGCAATATGTTATTGTATTTCTGCTACTGATGTTTCTGATAATAGAGTCAACTGTTGAGATTGACTAGGTTCATGGGACTCACCGGCTGTATGCTGAGGGGGTCCGTGACAATGGTCTGCTGAGTGTTCTGCCTGTTTTGGAAGTCCAGCAAGTAACTTTGTTTCAAGAACCGCAATCCTTTGTAGAAGTTTGTGGCAGTTCATTCAGCAAGTAGATTCAACAGGAGGCATTTTCTTTCTCTTCTGTTTGAATGTAGGCAGCTGTGTTTTCCCTTCTCCGGAATGTAAGCTGCTGGCAGTAGGAGGCAAAGTCTTCTTTTTCGTGGTATTATACCAGTCCCAAAGAGTTTTTAGTTTTAGTGTTTGTGCCAAAAATTTGTTGTTTGAGCACTGTGCTGATCTGCTGAAGTAAAAATCTTAGAAAAATCAGAGAAAAGTACAGAAATAGGAAGCAAAGCACAGAGCAGTAAGCAAGAACGTCCGAACGGTAGCGAAGCCGGAAGCAGAGGTATAAGAGCTTTAGCGCTGTCATTACAGGTACTAAAACCACACCAAGAGATGAGTCGAATGCGTGAAGAAGTGGAGGTACAGTATTTGTTATTCGTATAAACATATTACAGTTAAATGGCATATGATATTTTGGATACAATATGACACGCTATTAACCTCTTAACTTTTTGAATACAGACCTAAGGTTGGTCTCTTTTTAAAGAAGACAATTTGCAGATTATTGCAGAAGTGAAATCATTTCGAAAAATGAAAGCATAAAAAAATGTTATAGAAGTTTCAATTTACTGTAAAGAAAATGTACTGTACTATTTTTATTTTATTTTATATAAAATAAATATTTTATAAAATATGTTTTAATCCAAAATTGCTATAAAATTAAAGTTGTCTAAATAAGTTGTGTTCCAAATTTGAAGTTGATATAAAAAAGAAATTGAGGTTCCTATGCAATTTTGTTTAGGCGTTATACAACAGTCACCGGGTGCCATCCAAACTCCATTGAATTTTTTTGATGCATTTTTCTGTCACAAATGTATCAATTTCTCTCTCAATATTACTCCTATCGCAAAATAACCACCAATCTTGAATCTTGAGACTCAGACATTTACAACGATATGTATTTTGTCAAGATTATGAAAAGTTTTGATTCTAAAAGACCGTAATACATTTGGAATATGACACCTCCCACTAAGGGGGAGGAGCCCGCTAAAAGATTTTAAAGTACCATTTCCATGGTAAGGCAATGTCCGATTTCAAAATGGTTTTGACAGGATGAATTTCGAGGTTTTAAGCTATAATGATATGATAGACAGTCATTGACACCCTCCATGATATATAATTTATGATGATTACTAAAACATGTAATAGGGAAACAAGAAACGAAAAATAATTTTTGTGACACAGGTCAGAACTCGTGTTATGATGTATATGTTTTGAGGTGCACTCTTGTCATAAATTAATCTCCTAACAACCTGCAAACATGATTTGTTGTTACACGATTTCTGAAAAATTAAAGTACCAGTTACTGCTGTCTACTTTACAGTTTTTAATTGTATAATGGTGATAGTCATCAAACATTTCTAGGAAGAAAAACCCGCCAAGTCATCTAGATCCAGTGGTGCAGGTCAGTCAGTACAAGAAAGAAGGAGTTTCCCTCTTTGGATGTGGATTTACATGGCCCGAATCAGTTTTCTAAAGCGTTTTTGAAAAATCGCTTACCCCACCTTTAAGGGGTTAAAGGAAGTATAGTGCAGTAACTTCCTCAACAGTCATAGTGCATATTGTATGTCTACACCGGACGCGAGTGGCGCGGCTCGACAAAATACTATAGAACTCATTATAATCAGTGATGCTGTCTACACCATAGATATATATACTGTATATATCTATCGTCTACACTGGATGCGGTGCAGCACGACACGACAAATCCCCGACAGAAAATTGCTGCTGCGTTCTATTTATGACGTATTGACACAAACTTCAAATTATTTTCAACTGTCGCTTTGTCGCGTCCAGTGTACTAGACAGACTTTAGTTGTTGCGGTGCAGACACGTGTTACTCACCTATCGCGAAGAAACAAAGCAACCTCGGTGTCCGATCGCAGGCCTTGCGCTCCTTGAGTTCTCTCCAGTGCTGGAAAGCTGATCCGATATTTACACGGGTCCTACTTCTTGCCTTATTGCCTTAAGCCTTCTTTTGTTCCGCAGACGTTTTCCTCTTTTGTTTTATATATGTATGTAGAGCTGGACGAAGAAGACAAGTCGGCTTTGAATAATGACTCTGTATCTAAGGTATTGTGTAGGTGACTTTAAGCAGTTTATGTAAATTTATGGAAAGAGCATGTAGGTGTAGCTATTTTGTAGCAAAAAAAGTAGCGGGACATCAATGGCACACTTTAAATTAATGAATGACATTGCATTAGATCACAAAATAACGAGGATTTAGCATTGAAAGAAAGCCATTTGTTCTCTAATGCAGTGAAATTAAGTGTGGCATAAGTGTCCATATTCTTAATTGGGTCACTGTATAATTCTGTGTTATTCATTAACACATTCTCTGCACTCATATAGAACGTGGTTATGAAACTCAAAGCTGATGAAAAACAACAGGTAACATCCCAACCATCTCCTAACAACCTGCAAACATGATTTGTTGTTACACGATTTCTGAAAAATTAAAGTACCAGTTACTGCTGTCTACTTTACAGTTTTTAATTGTATAATGGTGATAGTCATCAAACATTTCTAGGAAGAAAAACCCGCCAAGTCATCTAGATCCAGTGGTGCAGGTCAGTCAGTACAAGAAATGAGGAGTTTCCCTCTTTGGATGTGGATTTACATGATAAATAAAACATCATGTTACACTGTAGTCTTATTGCATCACTCCTGTCCCACTTCAGGCACCGGCCAAAAAAAACACCCAATGAAGATATAGCGGTTAGTTGCTTTACGTTGTTTACTTGAATTATCAATTGCACAAAGACTAATACTGAAGAACTGTATGTGTACTGTAAGCAATGTGAACTAACATGCACAGACATGCTTGCAAGAGCTCGGGGCGCGTCTACGAGTTCTGCCATTAACAGAGGAGAACAAACGAATGTTTGACCAGGCTCAGGCAAACCAGATGCCTTCTGTCACACATCAGTTTGCCTGCGAGTCATGAGACAGGGACTGGTGGTGATGTGTGCCTCAGAGGAAAAGGGTATGATGTCTGACCACACCTTACAAGATAAAATCACATTCACTTGTGCTTTTTCCATATTTAGCATTCATCTGTGTGCACCTGGCTTGTTATAGGTGTCACGTTGTCATCGATGCAAAAAAAGAAGTATGACCCTGTGCCAGCCAACATAAGGTGGGGTATAGCAGAGTTTAACTGTCCAAATTGCTTGCGGACCTTCAAGTAAGACATTATGTTTGCTGTACTGTATTGCTGTTCTTCAGTTTTTAATGACAGTCATGGCATTTGTGGTTTCATGGTTTTTTCTTCTGCATATGACAAGGAGTATTGTATTAACATATTATGTTTCTGTTAGGGGTTTTGGTCGGATGGATGGACGTTCTCCTTGTTATGGCTGTTGCTCAGCCATTTTCCCCACAAAGATTCTACCACCCAGGAAGA